TCGGGGCTTAAGGGAGAGTTCGGGCTCTTCGTAGGGTGGTCGGGCTCCTCGTAGGGAGTTCGAGCTCTTAGTAGGGAGGTCGGGCTCCTCATAGGGAGTTCAGGCTCCTCGAAGGGAGTTCGGACTGCTGGTTTCTTCCCTCTGATGCTTGCGCCCTGGGTTTGCTGTTTTAAGTGCCGAGCTATTTGCTTTTGCCACATGGAGTGATTGCGAGGTCGGGCCAAATCTTCCTTCATCATAAATAATATTTTGTTAGAAGCTCAATAAGGCTCGTGACTCATGAACTACTTGAATCGGGTATTATAAAAGCTTAAACTTGGCTAGACTAAGCTCAAGCTCAACTTAATAATCCTTGACCCAAGTTTGTGTATTTAATGAATTGAGTCTAAGTAACTAACTATAGTTGGCTATTTGGCTAAGCTCGCTTACAACCCTAGCGGGGGCAGACTGTTTGGGTTCGACTTCATACTCCTCTCATCCTCAAAGGTCGTCCTTAATTTTTCACCCCCCCCCCCAAAAAAAAAAAAATTCTAAATGCTTAATGCTTCCTAGCAACATTGTCAATAAGAATGTAATAATGAATATATATTTAATGTTGAATTTTACTCCAAAATGCAATCAACAATTGTTGGTTAAAATTTTACTAAAAAAATGTCATTATTTGAAGATAAAATGAGTTTTTGAGCGAAAAATTATTAAAAGTTAATTGATTATTTTAATTCCAAAGTATCAAGTCTTAAAATGAATTTTGGAACCAGAAAGATTAACTCTAACAGTTTTGATAACTCAAAACTTAAAATAATCCTTGAAATGAAAAAATTCATCGAAATATTAATTGCAAAGAATGTCAAATGCAACTAGGGCTGTCATTTGGATTGGATTTGGTCCAATCTGGTTCAGTCCAACATTGGTCCATTTACAAATGGATTGGACCAAATCTGGTCCAAACCTCATACAAATCAGATCTAGTCCAGTCCAATTGATCCAATCCGGTCTAAATTAAATGTTTTCCCTAGAAAACACTTTGTTTGCAACTAAAATAATGAAGGGAAACAAAATGTTTTCCTCATAAAATAATACTCAATAAGGAATGAATTATTTCCCTAATTTCTCAGAAAATAAATAAAATGATTTCCATCTTCATCCGCAATCAAACACAAAAAAAAAAAAAAAATCATTTTCCTAAAGAAATTGTTCATATCAAGAGGACCACATCCCGGTGCAACACTTGGTGGGCTTCACCAACTTAGACCAGATATTAAGCCAATTGTTTCTGCACTCTATAAAAGGATGTTGTAGGCAGTTTAACCATCTGAATCATTCTGTAACCAAGGAATCATTCTGCGAGTGACTGTAAAAGGAATATGGATTAGCAGAACACATTGAGATAAACTCAATTATTTCATTTCTATTGTTTGCTGTCGCAATGAGAACATGATCTATATTACAAAGTGACTGAAATCATCTACAACAAAAGAAGATAAGTAGCATACATCCAATACGGAAAATCATTCAACACTAGCCACAGTCATTCCACTCTTCAACTGGTTGTCCCTTGCAAGGATTTTATTCAAACAAGTACTTCATATGAAGAAAACTACTTTGGATGGCATGTTCTTGCACCAAACTTTGCTTTCTGAAAAGTCTTGGTCCTCCCAACTAGTTGTAAAATGAACTGACAGAAAACTGACCCAATTTTTCTTATGTCCATTTCCTTGTATACTCTGTTAATGTCAATTTATGGGCTGTATAACCTTTGCAGCAACCCCAACATGGGTCCAACTTCACAATCATTCTAGTTTCTATGGAATTGGGGTACCCACACGATGAATGTTCCCATCTTGAATTTGTGTACAATCTGCCACACTCACCTCCTTGCCTGCAGCTACATCAAAAAGAGATGGAAAGTCTCCATCTTGTTCCTAACATTAGGATCGGCCTTGAGCCGAGGTGGTCACTTTACATACGGGGCGTCCTTGATGGTCATGAGGATTTCGGCCCGTTTTGTGTTGAGGGGTGTAAACACCCTTTCTGCCGCTGAACCTCGAAAAGGCTGGACTGACTTTGCCCCCCGAGCTTGGTCCTTCTTCTTCTTGTAGTCACTTGGAGCTGGGGGTTTCGGTTCCCTTTTTCTTTTCTCGAGGGCGTGCTCGCCCTTCTGGTTGATCTCCTCCTGTTCCTATGAACCGATTTGCGAGCTCGAGGAACTCGGTCACGGTCTTGGGTTGGTTGACGACCACGTGCCACTTGAACTCTTTGTGGGTGATGCCCCGTTTGGCCACGGTGAGCCGAACTACAAGGTTCAGGTCGGGTATCTGCAGGCAAGCGTCATTAAACCGCTTGATGTAGTTCCGGATAGACTCCCCATCCCTCTGGACTATGCTGAGGAGGCTTTCTTGAGTCCTCGGGCACCTCTTACTAGTGACGAAGTGGGAGGTGAAGACCTGCACGAACTGCGCCCAACTCCTTATTGAACCCGACGTGAGGTTTCGATACCAGGTGCGGGCTACTCCTTTGAACGTAGTGGAGAAGGCCACGCACATGTAAGATTCACTCGCCCTGGCTAGATGCATCTGGGACTGGAAGGCGTCGACGTGGTCGTTGGGGT